TTGGGCATTAAATGGTTTGTTTGTGCCTTTGTGGAGAATACATTTTATTTTCCTTTTCTAAATTTTCCTAGGCTTTCCAGTTTTGTTTAACCAAGCAATTAATTGATTGATTGATCTTCCCTTTCTTTTTAATTTTTTTATTTGTCTCCTATGCCCTTCATTGGTCCTCTTTAGCATAATAATCTTGTTTTCTATTTTGTAGAATAAACAAACAATATTTATTCGCAAAATCACATTAGGGTTGTGAATAAAATGTTGCTTAATTACAATTTTTTCTTACAATTTTCCTTTCACAAAAAATAATAAATTTACAATATCTTTAGAAGTCGGAGGTTCATCCTCTGTCTTGTTTAAAAAGAAAACAATAAAATTATATACTATTCCGTTCTTTGAAACATTTTGTGAACTTTAACAGAATTTTAACAAATAAAAATTACATTTCAAAAAAATAGGAAAATTTAAGGTCATTTGATAAGCATGTTATAATATATAATTTGTGTTTGTTATGCAATCCATTTCTTAGGAAAAAAAAATTAACATCTTAGTCAATTTATATAAACTAAAAAATAGTTTTAGAAATTAATCTTTGCTTTTTAAATTTATTTAAGAATTCATTAATATAAGTAAAAAAGGAATAAACAAATAAGTTTATATTTTAAAATGGTTATGGATAAGGGTTTTAATTTTCAAAACCTGCAGAGATTCTCAATACATTAAAAAAATGCATTATAATTTTTTCTTTTTCTTTTTTTAACAACTTTTTACCATACAAACATAATTTTTTAAAAACCACATAAATATTATCAAACAAAATGTAGAAATACAAAAAAAAAAAAAAGGAAAATTTTTCATTTTTCATTTTTGAACATATTTGCAGTTTTAACGTGGAAATTAGATAAAATTTTGTTTTGTTTATTCCCAATGGATGGTGGCAGTTGCTAATGTCTTTTTCAAAGTGCTCATTATCAAGGAAAAATTAATTAAGTTGATTAATTAAATCGGTTGGCAAATCAAGCTAGAACGTGTTCATCCACATTAATTCTTAAATAATTAATTCCTTTTCTTGCAAGAATTACATGTATTAATATATAATTATTAAATTATATAAAGAATATAAGTCGCCTCCCAATGGCTATATATGCAACTATTTTGGGAATTTAAAAATCAATTTATTAAATACGTTCAAATATGCCTTTCCTCTCATTTGCCCTTTTTTTTCCTTATTAAATGAATGACGAAAAGAATAACAAGGGAGAGAGAATAATATAATGAGAGATAAGAATTGGGCTAGTTTTTTAATTACCGAATCTCATACCATAGCAATTTTTTTAGAGTAATTTTAACTTATCTTAATTCATGAACTCCTTTCGATAATTATCCTATTTCGTTCATGTCGCAAATGTCACTAGAAAAACAATGATATAGTTTTGTTCATTGGATAAATTCTAACTAAGTTGACATAAATAAGAAGACGATTAAATAGACTAATTGAGAACGTGCGTCATACTAATAATATACTAATGGTGTTAACGTATGTGAGTAAATAGAAGCTAACATGAACGATAATAGATCGTGTTTGAAGTAACAAATTAAAAACCATGGATCTATAAAACTAGATTTTTTTACTATTTTTTTTTCCTTGAGGGAGGATACCAATGTCGTAATAGTTGAGCCCATGTTACAAATTTCAATGGTAGTTACTATTTTATTTTTGTTATAATCCAAATATTGTATTGAATATTGAATAATTATTGTGTAAAAAACACAACAAGTTTCAATTATTAGGTACAATATAAGGTATTAGGTTTAAATACTGTGTCCGTAATGTATTTTGATTTTGGTTCATTTTGATTCTTGTTTTGACCCTCATACTTTAAACTTAATTTATTTTAGTATTTGTACTTTCAAAACATCGGTTTTGGTCTTTGTACTTTTAAAAAATAACTGATTTGGTTCCTATTTGCAAAATTTCAATACAAATTTTATATAGAATGAAAACTTTTTAATATAAATTTATAACTACATTTCAAAAATAATTTAGTGAGTAAAATGGTTACATTTTTAAATACATAATTAAAAAAAAAATTTAGTAGACAAGAAAAAAGTTCTTCAGATTCATAGACAGAACAATATTTTTTCTGTTATAAAATAGACATTGTGAAAGTACATGGAAGAAATAAACAGCGGAAAGATAGTATTTAAGCCTACATGTATTATAATATGTCATGATTCCTAAAATTTCTGTGAGTATGCTAATTCTAATATTTATAGATTATGTATGATGTATGGGATCCTTTTGTTTTATCTCACATAAATAAAAATAATAAAGATTGATTTGCCGCCTGTTTATGAAGCCGGCCAAGAAAAAAAAAAAAAAGAAGATATGGAAACAAACTTCTCAAGCTATCCACGACAAGATAATTATTATATATATATATATAAAATAAAAATGTGTCTTTTTCTTTTCAAATAGTAGTATTTACACTAGATTAAAAATAATAATTTTTTTTATGAAATTGAAACAAGTAAAATTGTAAAAATAATAAATAAAGTAATGAGAGAAAGTATGTGTAGAGATATTAGTAAGATAATTTGTATGGATAGAGAGGAATTAGTGAGAGAAAGTGCATGAGGAGAGAGATTTGTAAATTGAGTAGAGAACATGTGTAGCATTATTGAGAAACTAGTAGGAGAAAATGTGTTAAAAGAGAGAGATTGGGAAAATAAATAAGAAAAATACTTAGTGCTCACGATCCAGCACCTATTTTTTTATTAACCATATTAAATTTTTGATAAGTAGGAGAAAAAATATGAAAGAAGATTATTTTATTATTTTTCTTATACTAAAAGTTGTCAATTTTTTATTAATGATCATCGTAAAGATGAGTGTTGACTGATGAATACTTAAATATTGTTCTAAAAATAATCGTTGAGATAAAATATGTGTAAAAAGTAATTGGTACGAATAAATGTATACCATGAGAGATTAGGGGATGAAGCCACAAAGTGTTTGAGATTGAAACACTCATAGGAGACCAATAAATTATATTTTTATTTTTATTTCCGAGAAAATTATACGTTTAGTTATTGAAATTGCTTTAATAATTTTTGAAAGTTTAAGTTTAGTTTATTTATTTATTTATTTTTTTAATAAAATTTGATTAGTACAAAAAAAAGAACCGGAGTTTAGTTCGAACCTCCCTACTTTTCCTTTTTTGAATTTCGCTGCTATTGTTTAGAAAAGAAAGAATTCAAAAAATTAGAAATAAAAAAAAAGTAAAGAAATTCTTGATTGCATCAAGAATCCCATTTTGTTTGAATTCGGTATGGATAAAAGATCTTGCTATGTTATACTATTCAATTCTCGACGATGAATCGMTTTTATAGCTCAGATATTGTTATTCATGATATTTTAATAGGATTCGAGTTTGATAAATTTTTTAACTTCAAAATTTCAATTATTAAAAAACAGTTTTACTGCAATCGGAACACCCTGAAACAAGTTTTGATACGTGCAGACAATTTGGATAAGAGTCATGTTTATCTCACAACTATAACTATTTCTAGAAAAATCATAAAATTCTAAAATTCATAAAAAAATTATATTTAAATTAACAAATAAACATTTATTCAATATTATCTACATTAATAATATATATATATAGATTTTTTTATCAAACGTGTATAAGTATTTATTCATCTCTTATGTCAACATCCAACTACTTAAAGATGTAAAAATGTCAACTCGTGGATGGCAATTTAATACCTTGCTTATTTCATGAGTACTTGAATTTCTAATACAACCAATGTTGTTGTTATTATTATTATTATTATTATTATTATTATTATTTTCAAAGAGGTGCAATATTTTTGAAGCAAAGAGATAAACATTAGAGACCATAATCTTAAAACATGATCCGAAGAGAACAAAAACAAAGATTCTTCCATTTATTCAAGGGAGAAGCCATCCATGACCCTAGCTTGTTCTATTTCTATCCTAAAATCAAATAATTATTTTACACTTGAGCCATTATTTAAAATTCACTTCTTGAATTGCATATATAAATAAACCCTCCTTGAATTTTTCACTTTTGGATTTGTTCTATGGCACCAAAGAACTCGTTAATTGCTCTGTATTCACTATTCATAAAGTGAAAAGGAAAAAAAGAGAGAGAGAAATGGGATTTGATTAAAACCAAAATGCAAAGAAAAAAAATGACATTAGCTTTCATAGTCTGTTGCGTTTGGCTCCAGGGGAGATGGAGGAGAATCCAACCTTGTGAGAACTTCAGGCACCCCAGCAGTATCTCTAACAATCTGTACCAATCCCAAACCATTTTCATAATTATTCACTATTCAGATTCTTCAACCTTTCAAATACAATTTCATATTTCAAAGATTTTAACGACCAACTTTGGTTTTCAGTGGATGGAAGTATAATGGGAAAGGAAAGTGGGAGTAGATGGTGGTGCTTTGGGGAAGTTTTCAATGTCTTACAATGTGATGGTGGATAAAGTCAAAAAGAGAGTGAGTTGTGCACTGATACTAGAAGAAATTTGAATAGGAAAATGAGTTGAGGTTGTGATAGGCCTATTGAACAATATTCTATTAATCACAACACAAAACAAGGAATCTTCAGCTCTTCGAGAGGCCGAGAACTCTCCTCTCTCAAAGAGTAACTCTCCGACTCCCTCCTCTAGAAATATCCCTTCCTCACGACCTATTGTGTGACCTCCTATGACCCCCTATTACGGAATTGGGGGCAACTCTAGTGCACGGCCTCTGGAAAAGGCTAACTAACTTCTCTCATCCCCATCATCATTCTTCGTTTTGCTTTTCTTTCTTCGAATGTAAATAAACCGTATGGAAGGTGGCTCCACGTTCCCATCAGGTTGTTGCTGGAAACGGTTGGTTATGTTTGGATAAAGGTATAGACAAACAAGTTTGATTGTGTTGGAATCAAGTGTTGCTTTCGGTGAGGTCACTGGTTTACAAATTGGGTGATGATGATGCTAGGATTTTGGATGTTAAGTTGTGTTCAAAGATTTGGAAAGGAACTTGTTTGATCAGCACGTTTAGGGAGTGTCTCAATACGATGGAGAGGCTGCAATGAAGATTTCTTTATTGGAGCTCAAATCATTTTCAATGTTCATTATGTTTGGCGGATAGTGAAAATTTTGTTCCTTGTATAGTTTTCTTGTTCTTTCAGTAGGAGTTTGTTTGAATCGTTATATATTCTCCTTCCTATTCCTTCTAGAATAAGTGAAGCTTTTCCTTCCTATCAGAAAGTCATTGTCAAGTTCAAAAGACAGCGCTGTGTATTCATAGTTGTACTAAATAAAAATACCAACTCGGCCGTCAAAATTAAACATGATCAATAAAACAGATGATGGGAAGTTGTGATCCAATTAGAAAAGTACTTACTAGAATTTCTTCATCGAGATAAGAAATCATGAGGAGCCTCTGATAAGATCCATCTGCAGGCATAAAGGTAAAGAGCTTTAACACGGAGACAAAACAATTAGAATAGAGCTCATATTTGTTCGCTTCTAAGATTATTGATTCTGTATTTAATACAGCATATGCTGGAAGGGAAATTAACATCAAATGAGAGAAGAAAGGATCAGATGTGACGCTATCAAAACATGATAAAACTTAACACCCATCCCATTGCATCAGATGAGAAACATCCAAGATCATGAAAAGAAACATCCAAGATCATGAAATCTTTTCAGACTTGCTACGCAGAGTCCAAAATGTCAAACTATAATATTAATGATTGGAACTTAAATTGCTACAAGGATTCTCATAGCTGTTTAACTTTCTTAGTGAATGTTAATTGAAAGATAATCTCAAAAGTCCTGGGCTTATGCTAAGGAGAATCCTCATCTCCCTCAAATTTCGTACCACGACTTCTCCCTTTAGATGAATGAATATAGCTTTCTTACTAACAAGTTCGTTTCATAATTACAATTGATGTGATAAAACGCATTTAGACATTGCACAAACTATATTCAAACTTATAGAATTAATGAGCCACAAGCTTTGTGTTTTCACAATCAGTTTTACCGTGACTAATAGATAAAATATCAAACTAAAAGTCATTGATTAAAAGACTTAGTTTCAGATTATGTTAAGTCCAGAATGGCTAGAACAGTAGAATTTATGAAAGCAACAGGACCTCTCAATGGCTTTCCATATTGGATGGATGAAATAAATATAATATTAGCAATCAAATAACCAGGGATGAAGAATGAAAATAATCTGAAAAAAGGAACAGGAGCTGATTCCCCAGGCTGTACATCAACAGGCAGATACAAAGAACTGAGCTATATTTAGAAAAGGAAGATCAACACGGAAAACAATCATCATAGGATAAAAGGTGAAAGCAGAATTCCCAAAATGTTAATAGACAACATCTAGTCACCATTTCAATAATGTTTGAGAAAGTAACTAGATTTCGAATTACCTAAATAATCTACCTATGGAGATTTATTGTAAGCTTAAATTAATTGACAAAATAAAATAAATCATGAAAAAGAATCATACTTAGAGGAACTCTTAGCCCGCCAGCCATGATATCTTTGATAGGAACTGGAAGTTGCTGCATTGTGTTTACAGCCTGATTATATGCACCTTTTACCTGTTGTGGTACTGCTTCTTCAATAACAGAAGGTGTTTCAAGTATACCTTCAATATATTCCTCTTTCAACCGCAAAGGTCCCTCCACAGATAACTTGGTGGACAAAATAATTTTGCTTTCTATCTGCATTTGCCAGTAGTAGAACGTTAAATCATAGGCCACTAATCCCAGAATATAAAACAACATTAGCTGGCAAAGAAACTAATAAGAGTTGATTCAACGTTTTAAAACAATACACATGGCAGGGTATGAAGCTCCATCGAAGGGTGAAATAATAGGAACTGTCATGACCATGTTCAGTTATCTTAGCTTGGCTGCCTCTGTACTTACTACCAACTTCAGTGGAGAAAGGCTTCAAATTGACAGTGAGATGGCACTTGGCATCGTTCCACCCCATCGGGGAAGGGACGTGAGGGAGGGAGGTTAAACAACAAATTGTTAATATTATCTTCAACTGTTCAAAATGTTGGAACTGAAGAACTCAAATTTAGAAGAAATTTTTACACGAGAGGTCACAGAAAGACTTCCTTTTCCGTTGGTGTCTTCTCCAACTTCTATTTGGAGTTCCCTCTCTACACACTTCCGTAATTGTTCCCAGGCAACTATTACAATAAATTGAGGTGCTTTTATGTAACCTAAGCTGGAGCTTATAATTAATCACCCCTAGCAACTATTATGTTGGGAAGGATGTCTTATCTTCTCTATCTTATCTATTCTTTTTATTTAATGCAATTTTATCCCCAACAGTATATGTACACACATATATATATCACAAGTCCAAACAAAATAGATTATTTTCATGCAGCATTAAAAGCAATAATTCTTTTCTACAAGATTTAATATTCAACAGTCATATAAGTTACAACACAACTGAATGACTATCTATCTCCTCCGTATCAAATTAACTAAGTCTAATAGCTGCAACAAAACAATAAAAGCTTATTTCATCTAAACTCTTACAGAAGATTTCAGCTTGGGAAAAAGTTACATTACAAGCATGAGTAATGCAACACAATTTATGCTAAGAGATTTTTCGGTGTGGACAAAATCATATTGTTTCAACAGACAATGCAACTACGTAATTTTTTTAAAAACGGGCCAGGACATCTGATAGAATATCTGAGCAACTAGATAACGAGAGTTTATTTTCCCTTTTTTTGATCAAACAAATAATGGCACAGGTAATGATTCATACAGGTCAACGGAAAACTGAATACTTGAATATAGTTTCAAGCACTGAGGATTACCAAGTTTAATAGCTTAACATTAGCAGTAATATTAGCAGTTCCATCTTTGATAACAGCATCCAGTTTTGACAAATTAGCCAGAGTTGACGGAAAACCCCTACAAGAATAAATATTCACAGCCAGGACGAACTCAAATTCTCATAATCAGTGTAACTTCACAATGTGACAATGGAAAAGAAATAGTAACTTAAAAAACATTTACATACTGAAATATTAATGTAGCAGTCAATCCTGGGCTTCCAGATCCAAACCATTCAAAATTCCATTTACCTTCCAGAAAAGGAGACCTGGACAGCTGAAACATACAAGTAAAAACACCCAAAGCCCATAGAAAATACATTCAAAGAAAGGGGGAAAAGAAGTCTAAAAGGAACCTACGTTGTTGGTCGAGGAGTTGGATTAAGACGCTCAAGACCAGTTATCCTCTCATTCACATCAATTCGCTGCATATCGGTTGTTTTTCCAGTAACTAAAGCCTCAAAACCTCCAGAATCTTTGAACTGAAACAATGGATCTACATTAGAAACAACAAAATTAAACTCAATACTACGAAAATGAAACCGTACGAACACGGATGCAGAGACGCATGTCACTGATCAACAAACTATCATCATAAGATCAACACACTTGCACTAGACGGAGTGCCACAAAGTTCAATTCATACTCATAAAGGTTGCACGATCATTGAAGTGAAACAATAATTAATTCATCGCGCAACAAATTTTTAAGCAACTAAAATCCAACGCTGGTACTCACAGCCAACAGAAGCGATTCTTTAGCAGAAAGCCTCTCCATCTCCTTTGCATAAATCGCCGGAGCTCCCTGTGCAGCCTGCTGAACCATAGCTCTACACGGCTGTCTTCGGAGAAGTCTCCTGCGGCTGCAACGGCCACTGTACGGCAACCTCGAGCACAAAACCAAGGAAGGTACGGTGTTGGGAGGAAGCGGCGGTGAACGACAGGAGCAAATTGAAGACACTGAGGGGAGAGAAGCCATTGGAGGCGATTGGTTTGAGTTGGAACAGCGATTTGGGGATTGAAATAGTGAATCGAAGAAGAGAGAGACGGGGAGGAGAGTGGCGATGGAAGAGAAATCCGCAGCATTGCTTCCGTACCGGAGAGTCTCTCCCCTGGCCAATGAACTCCCGGCGTGTGGCTATGGAAGATTTTCTTTCTTATGGTTAAAACTTAAAAAGGCCTTACTTCAACTGTCCAACAATATAACAGTAATGCTCGTATTGGCATTTTCAACCTCATCTTCCTATAAAAATATTGAGTAAAATTAATAAAATAGTAATCATATTTAATTTTTTTTAAATATAGTACTTTTATTTTATAAAAAAAATCAATATCAATTTTTAAAATGACTTCATCCAAGTATTATATATTTGTAATATATTTAATTACTGATATATATATTTGTAATATATTTAATTATTGATATATGTATGTGATATACTGACAATATTTATGTGATATACATTTAATATACTATTTATATTAGTGTTGATGTAATATGCATGTGATATACATCTGAACATACTACTTATATGAGTGTCTTTGTCATCGGTATGTAATATACATTTAATATACTACTAATATAAGATATGAGTGGATGATATACTACTGATATAAGTGAAAATTTGTGTTATATTTAAAAATTTTTAAAAATTTTTAATATCCACTGTACTTTTACTCAAAAATAATTTTTTTAATATAAAGTTATGATTATATTTGGAGGAATATAAATTAATTATTTTCAACGACTTGATCGGAAAGGGTGCCTTAATCGTATAATTATTCGTCAAATTCTCATATCTCGGTGAATAGTCGGGACAGGGAGCGATATCCAAAATTTAGAGAATCTATCTATTGGTTCCATTTAAAGAAACGAAGGATCTAAATAAATCAATCTTTTTGTTGATTGGGTTTGTACTGTGGGTCTATGATTTTCAACCCCGCGAGGCGGGCGGGAGTACGGACAAAATTCAAGAGAAAACCCAACCAAAATAAAAATGAGAAAAAAGCCGAACCGATTTTGGAGGGGAAAGAGAGTGAAAATTCCGCCATTTTTGAAGCACTGGAGCGAGAACTTCCCAAGTTCTACCCTACCAATTCTGGTTCCAACTTCCAAAGACTAAAATTTATCTGCAACCTAAAATTTCTCTTGTTCGTTCTCTTCTTCGCAATGGGAATCGACTCAGAGAAGAATTTCCAGCGCAAGCAGTGTTCCTATCAAATATCGGTATCTCTCACCCTCTTCTGTTTCTTAGTTCGTTGTTCATATCCCCAAAAGTTGTGGCTTTCCCGCCTTTTTTTCGGCCCAGCTTGGCTACTTTGGAAATGCGAGGAATTTTATTTGCTTTGCTTCGTTTTCGTATTCTGAGTTAACCAAGGTTGAGGAAGGCCGGAAAAGGGACGGGAATTGGGAACTTTTAACCCCTTTTTTTTTTGTGTCTTAAGTGGGATTTATTAATTGTAGGATGAGCAATACAATATTCAGAACGAGACGTACAGGGGCCAGCTATTTAGTCATATTTACTTTGCTCGACTCCACTTGATGAGAACGATTCTCTTATCACTCGTCTCTAAGTGGAAACCTCATTCACCAGGTATTCGTTTTCCCCCTTTCAATTTGTATGTCATAAGCGAGCGTCTGCTCTTTTTTCTTTCTATTGTAAGTTTCTGTTATGTTCGTTTTTTCCTTTATTTTGTTATCCCAAGAACATTTCCTGTAAATTGTGGTGAGCTGTAGTTTGATTTAGCTATTTGATGCCATGAGAAGTCATGATGGAAGTAGATTTTGTTGTGCGATGAGTGGGTACATCATAATTCCTGGTTTTGTGGTCCTTCAATCTGTTTTGGTCCTTTTTGGCGACTTTTGGCATCTTAACACATTCAAAAGGTTAGTGTTTTTATTGGAGTGGTTGAATTCAATTTAGGGTGGATTTAAACCAAGCCTTACTTTGAATTGCTTTTTAGTTATTCGTCATGCATTGTAAGTTGTGACTGTTTAAGCATTGTACTTTAAATCACTATTCAAGGTTGAAGCAATTTCAAGAGGAATAGGTTTTATGGAGTAGTTAAAAAATTGTCTTCAACACAATGTCTTGCAGTTTGTACTATAATAGAATTGGAGGAAGGCAAGGAATGCATCATCATAGGAACCGTCTACAAGCATATGAAACTTAAACCTACCATTCTGGATGAGTATTCAAAGGAGGTAATATACTTCAAAGTTCAAACAAATATGTGAACTACCCTCTTTACGGCTCTCTTATGGTTTTGGTGTTATGGGATTGGATTGAGACACTTAAATGGAATGTACAGAGATCTGCCACCCCACTTGTTAAGCCTCATAACTTTATGCACCCAGATGATCAACTAGTTTTGGAAGATGAAGGTGGGAGAGTCAAGCTTTCTGGGGCCGTGCTACCTTCTGTATATGTTACAGGTCCGTTCACACAGCCTCAAGGAATTGCATAAAATTATGACAAATTTTTAAAGCATGTTGATACATGTTGTACCTATTCATCCTTGAACTTACTTCTCTTTTAACTTAGTATGAGTTGATCCATGTTGTATTTGTTGTTGCAAAAATGTATTGTTTGTCGTCAGATATTGTGCATACAAATTGTAACTTGAGCAGCTATTATTATTTGTTTAAAATCATATTCTGCTGTATGGAAAATTAACTTTTATATTTAAGGAATTGCATAAAGTTATCAATTTTTTTGAGCATGTTGATGTATTTTCTAATACGCATGCCAGGGATTGTTATTTGTTGTTTCAACAAATGTATTGTTTGTCTTCACATGTTGTGCATGCAAATTATAACTCGAGCAACTATGATTATTTGTTTAAAAGCATGTTCAGCTGTATGGAAAATTAACTTTTTTTTTTTTATATAAGAAACATGTGTATATATTACTCACAAAAAAGAGGTACAACACTAAGGGTAGGGGGCAGAGGAAGACCCAAAAATTAACTTTTTTATTCAAGGAATTGCATAAAGTTATCAATTTTTTGAGTATGTTGATGTATTTTCTAATATGTGTGCCAGGGATTGTTGTTGCATTGCATGGAAAGGAAACTTGCGTCGGTGACTTTTTGGTTTTGGACATCCTAGAAGCTGGCTTGCCACCGCAGATAGAGCAGCCACTCATATCAAGTAATATGTGATTAACCTCCCGCTTCCTTATTTACCGTCTCCATCTTTTTAAATTTGTCCAAGAGTACTTTTTTTGGGGATAAGAAACAGACTTTTCATTAAAACAGGAACAACAAAAAACAGCCTAAGGACAAGGGACAAGATATCCCTTTCCAAAATAACACTAATAGAGAATAGTTCTCCAATCTTGAGTGATTTGAGAGAGACTGTAATTACAAAAGAATTCATGTTCCTATAACACCACCATAATGCCGTAATATGAACACTATCACAAAAAGAATCAAAAGAAATCGTCTTGTCCTCAAAGGATCGCATATTACTTTCTAGCCACAACTGCCATAGGAAGGGTTTGGAGGCACAGTCCCACAACTCTTTACTATTGCCTTGAGCATAAATTTGTCCAAGAGTATTGAATTATAATGAAGTGAGAGAGAGGGTTACTTGTGTATTTCTGTTATGCTTTAATGTAATCAGTTGCTGCCCCCAAATAATTCAATCGGTGTAGTTGCTGAACCATACCGAGGGTTCATTATTGTGTTATATATTAGTTTATGGGTAGAGCTTATAAGAGAATGTCAACATTTTGGAGCCTTGGGGTGTATAGATAAGGGTGATGTTTGTCTGATCGATATTTTTCCACTATCAATTGCAACATATTTTGTGCGGTTGTGGTGGATAGAGAAATAGCCATGGGCCATAGCTCTGAATTCACTTCTGCACTACTTTTTGAGACTACTGGCTGTTTCTCTGAATTCACTTTTGTATTGCTCCTCGAGACCATAGGCTATGCTATTTCTTACCGTGAAGATTATGAGGGCTATTTCTTGGGTTCGCTTCATGGTAACCTGAAGGTTGTTAAACATTTATGGTGAAAGTTTCTGGCAAACTAGGTAAATGGTATAGTTACCTGTTGTTAAAAGGGGGTAGGATTATAGGCACAAAAAATTCTTTTGTTAAAAGGGGGTAGGATTATAGGCACATCTATCGATATGTTTTGTAATAGTGTTTGGTTGCACTCTTCTTGGTGGTGCTATAGGCACAAAAAATTCTTTTGTAATTACAGCCACTCTATGATTTTGCAAGATTGGAGAGCAATTATTGTCTAGTTTTTGGGTGGGGGATCCCTCTTCCCCCCCCGGCCCTTAGGCTGTTTTTCCTTTTGTGGCTTTAATCAAAGGTTTCTTATCAAAAAAAAAAAGGGGGGTAGGATTATTCTTACTAGGCTGTTCTTCCCTACCTTACCTCCCTAATTATTTCATGTTAGTGTTCAAGATTCTTATCAAGGTTGCAATAACCATCCATAAGATTTTAGAGATTTTCTTCACCAAAGGGCCTAAGATAAATAATGGTTATGATGGTTAACGAGGGAGTAACCGTATCCTCAGAAGAATACGACCCCCCAAGTGATTATGACACTTAATGAAGGGGAGTAAGATGCTCTATGGTATAAGGTTTTTAATAATAAAAAGTGGGAAGAGCTTTCCCATCTTTCTTCTGGCCGCATGGAAAATTGGCTTTTGGGAGGAGATTTTAACTCCATCCTTTGGTCCAAGAAAAAATCAAATTACAGAAGGCCCTCCAGAAACATATCCCTATTTAACGACTTTATTGAACATGCTGGCTTCCAAGAAATCCCTCTTTCAAATGGCCTTTGTACTTGGCCTGACTTTAGAGACACTCCTTCCCTCACACTGATCGACCGATTTTTGGCAATAAAGGATTTCCTCAAAAAGTTTCATAATCCTATTGTTAAAAGGTTAGACTATCCCACTTCGTACCATTTCTATCTCCACCTTTCTTTTGGCTTAAACAAATGGGGTCCCACACCTTTTCGCTTTGAGAATATGTGGCTGCAGCACCGTTCTTTTCCCTATTTGGTGGAGTATTGGTTGACAAACACACCATTGAGAGGTTGGCCGGGTCACGGCTTCATCCAAAAGTTGAAGGGTTTAAAGATTGTGATAAAAGCTTGGAGCAAGACTACCGGCAACATTGTACAACAAAAAAATCAGCTCAGCTAGAACTCTCTATTTTGGATGATTTGGAGGAATCATTCAATCTTCAACCGGTTCAAAATGCTTGTAGGAAATCTATTAAAACACAGCTACTTTCTGTAGCAGAAAAGGAGGAGATTATGTGGAGACAACGGTGTAAATCCAGATGGCTTCACAAAGGGGACCACAACACTTCCTTTTTCCACCGAATTATGGCAGCCAAAAGAAGAAGAAGCACTGTTACAGAGGTTATTTCCAAATCTGGTAGAAGCCTTTTGAATGAAACTGAAATTGAAGGAGGATTTCTTTCCTTTTCCGACAGATTTTACACCAAGAAGATTGGCAATACATTCCTCCCTCACCCAATTGACTGGAGCCCAATCTCCTCTCAACAGAGTACAGATATTGAAAGGCCCTTCATGGAGGAAGAAGTTTGGAAGGCGGTCAAAGATTTAGGCACAAACAAAACCCTGGGACTCAATGGCTTCAGTGTTGAATTCTACAAAAAGTTTTGGAACACCATCAAACCAAACATTATAAGGGTGTTCCAGGACCTTTTCAAGAATGGTATCATAGACTCAAGCCTTAATGAGACTTGTCTCATACCAAAGAAAGTGGATGCCCCAAAAATTGGGGATTTTCGTCCGATCAATCTCATATCATGTATGTACAAAATTATTGCCAGAGTCCTCTCGGGAAGACTCAAAGCTCTATTGCCTCTAACAATCACAGAATTCGAATATGCTTTTGTTGCATATAGACAAATCCTTGATGCATGCCTAATAGCAAATTAGCTCATTGATGATTGGAATAGAAAGAAGAGAAAAGGTGTGGTTATCAAGACATTGAAAAAGCTTTCGACAAAGTCGATTGGGACTTTCTAGATGAGATTCTTGCATCAAAGGGCTTTGGTCCTATTTGGAGAAAATGGATTATGGTTGCATTTCTCAACAAACTTCTCTGTGATCATCAATGGTCGGCCTTGGATTACCCTTCCTCTTCATTATAGTGGTAGATGTTTTCAGCAGATTGCTCTCCCATAAGGCTTTGATGTTGGTAATAACTCCATAGATATTCATCATCTTCAATTTGCACACGACACCATTCTATTCTCCACCTTCGAAGATCGCTCTCTTACTAATATGTTCAACCTAGTTCGTCTCTTTGAAGAAGCATCGGTGTTGACTATCAATCATCAGAAATCAGAAATATGGGGATTAATCTAGAAGACCAAGAGCTGGAACTTTTAACTACGAAATTCGTATGCAAAAGAGGTTCTTGGCCAAATTCCTATCTTGGTTTGCCTCTCAATCGAAAGCATGGATCCCTCTCTTTTCGGGATCCACTGATTGAGAAAGTAAAGAAACGCCTACACTCATGGAAAAATTCCTATATCGCCAAAGGTGGACGACACACCCTCATACAAGCTACCCTAAGTAACCTCCCCACTTTTTATATGTCCTTATTTTCCATGCCAACAAAAGTTGCAGCATCCCTTGACAGCACCATCAAAACTTTGGAAAGGAAATAACGAAAAGAAAAGCTCACATTTAGTGAAGTGGGAGACTGTCGTTCGGCATTTGGAGGAAGGAGCCCTCGGTTTTTACAATGTGAAACAGAAAAATAGAGTGCTGCTTTCAAAGTGGTTTGGAGATATATCAATTAGATGAATGCCCTTTGGAGGAGAGTATTATGCTAAATATGGGAGATCCCCGAGGCACAACAGACTGGGTTTTTCATCCTTAGCAAGGCCCTTGGAAAGCCATTCTAAGACAACAGGACTTCGTTTTTGACAGACTATCTTACAAGATTGATAATGGTTGCAACATCTCCTTTTGGAAGGAACCGTGGCTGAATGGGGACCTCTTATATGACAAATATCCTTTGCTCTGTGTTGTCTTCAGCAAAAGAGGCTGTGGTTAACGAGCTTTGGAATGAAGATCAGGGCAGCTGGAATTTGAAGTTTAGAAGGAACTTTAAACAGGAAAGAATTGAGGAGTGAGCAGTCTTTTCACAACATCTCTCTTCTTTCACATTCATACATGTTGCAGATGTTTTCCTTTGGAACCTTGAACCAGGAGGTCACTTCACCACAAAGTCCCTCATGAAAGACCTTTGTCAACGGCACACATCCCCGCCAACCAGCCTATATGAAGTTGTATGTAAGGATTCTCATCCCAAAAAGATAAAACTCTTAATTTGGAAGTTGAGCCATAAAACAATCAACACAAATGATAAGTTACAATGGAAATTCCCCGATCTATCTGTCTCTCCATAATGGTGTTCGATTTGCAAGGCTGATTTAGAATCCCAAAAAAAAAAAGAGAGCACCTTTTTGTCTCTTGTGACTATGCTGCACGTTTTTGGGTCTTTGAACTCTCAAATTTCGACTGGTATATTGCCCTTCCAATTGACCCATTTCTTTTGATCGAGGCTTCTCTTGGGGGATACCCCTTTAGAAAGGAAAGAAAAAGCTTCTTTGGATGTCATCAGAGCCTTCTTTTGGATAACTTAGAGACAGAAGAATCAGTGCATTTTTAATGGAAAAGAACCCTCCTTTGATAAGTTTTTAGAAGCCATTATCTTTTTGGTTGTTTCTTGGTGTAAATGTCCCCCTTTTCTCACAACTATAGCATTTCTTCTCTCATTTTCAACGGAAAAGCTTTCTGTAATCCCTTTCATAGGCAACTTTTGTAATTTCATATCATCCATGAAATTATTTCTTTCTCTAAAAAAAGAACAAATTTCGCAGGAGAAGATAAGTACGTGGTTTTTGTGTCAGGCCTAAGTATTGGGAGCAGCATCTCTAATCCTCTTCAGTTTCAGCTCCTTGTTGATCATATAACAGGACATTTAGGGGATGAGAAGGTTGGTTTCATCTTTATTTCTCTCTATAGATATTTATCATAATTTGCTAACTTCTTAGAACCATAAACTGAACAGGAACAAGGGATTGCAGCTCAAATAGTTCATGTTGTCATCTGTGGGAATTCTGTTGAAATTCCTTCTGCAGTTTTAAATGGTCAGGTCTGTTTCAATCTGTTAAAGATTTTGCTGAGATCAGTTTAATTCCTTCATCGAGTGTAGTATCTTTTTTGCTATTACTGATACTTATGAGTGTAAAAGAATTGAAAGGCTGATCTTTTTGAAATCTTAGAAGAGCCTTGAATGGAACAACTCCATTTATGGTTGTCCCAATTATAACTTAATATTTTTTTTTTAAAACAAATTAGAACTTACTATGGTTCTCATTTAACAGTGCTATTTAATTATTTCTGTGGAAGAAATTGGCTACAAGATGCCGGTACATATGTTTTGGGACAACTAACACCAACGTGACCATGACATATGTGTGTATCTGATGTTTTCTTAGGAGTATTGTTAAGGGCAGTCTATGCTAAAATTAAATCACACAATTTTCTACTTCCAAGAAGAAAACCACAAAAATTAACGTGAAGTTTGATAGATAAGGATTGGGAAAATTAGGATTTTCCAGTATTCCATTATTTTCTCTACACACTAGTAATATCAGTGATGTTAAGCTTTTGGCTGATGCATACTGTATTCTCCGCAGTATTTATCTACGAAGGACCAAACGAAGCTGATAGAACCTCTTAAAGAGCTAGATATCCTATTGAATCAGGTTCTTATCCAATTGATTCTCAGTTTAACTTTTTATCAAATTTATTTCCCTTTGTCCTCAAATCCTTTCAATCGATTGTAAATCTGCTGTCCTTTTCATTAGCTTGCTGCAGGCGTACCTGTTGACATCATGCCAGGTTCCAGTGACCCAGCCACCTTTTCCTTGCCCCAGCAGGTATTTCTGTTTTTATTTTTTATTTTTTGGTTCATATCAGTTTGGTTTGTCAATAATGTCCTTTTCTTTGCAGCCTTTACACAATTGCCTTTTTCCTGGATCGTCAGCTTACAACACTCTTAGGGCTTGCTCTAACCCTCATTGCTTTGAGCTCGATAATTTCAGGTAACTTGAAAATGTTGGCTCGATAGTGTAACTGTCTCTTAAGTCTTAAGTGTGAACTTGAGTCCCCCACACTTCAATCGACGGTTTTTTTGTTTTAGGTTTCTTGGAACATCGGGTCAGAACATAGATGATCTTGAGAAGTACTCAGAGGCTAAAGATAAGCTTGAATTTATGGAGAGGACACTGAGATGGAGGCATCTGGCACCAACTGCTCCAAATACTCTTGGTAAATTTCCCATTTTTATTTTTGATTTTCCTTGTTTCAAATTTTCAGTTGGTGGATAGGCCACTTGAAACAATCTCTTCTTGAATAGCCATTCCACCATTTAGCTGCACAGCTTAAATTGCAGACAAGTTTATCAAAGTTTTGCAATAATATACAACTTTACCAAATTAGTATTTATGTTATTTGAATCTTGCAGGGTGTTATCCTTTCACTGACCGAGATCCTTTCCTGATTGAGAGCTGTCCTCATGTTTATTTTGTTGGCAATCAGGACAAGTTCGATACTCGCTTAATAAAGGGTATTTTTTTTTTTCTTTAAAACTCCTATATTGACAAGTATAATTTCTGATTTGCTTCTCCTAAAGACTAAATAAATGAGGTAATATATTGTCATATATATATATTTTTAATCCAGGACCTGAAGGGCAGATGGTAAGACTCATTTCGATTCCAAGATTTTGTGAGAAGGGAACTGCCGTAATGGTACTTTTCAGTTGACCTTTACCCAATATTTATACTTTTGTTCCTCATCTCCCTGGTCATTGCTGTTGAACTGCAACATTTCTGGATCAAAGTTTTATTATCCATGCTGGTTGTGAAAAAAAAAATGTTAGGAAGTATTAAGGAGTATCAAGGATAGTGATAGTTTCCATTTATTTTGCTTTAAACCCTATGAACCTCCTTAGTTAAAATGGAGTTCTAAATTAATTATTTGCACGGACTTTAGTAGTTTGAAATAGTGATGAGTTTGATGAGCATTAATCTTATTGATGACATAGCCGTGGCAAGAAGTTGCTGTGCTCAACAAACTGGCCCCAATTTGTTTGAACTTTTTAATGGTCATGCAATCAAATCATAAGTCATCATCTCTCTTTGGTGACTTCATTCAAGTAGAGAGGCTCTTTGAAAATCTTTTTTGTTATTTCCTGGCCCCTAGTCTTTCATATCAATGCAGTTTCCAGATGTCAACTGCGAATGATTCCGAAAATAATATTGTCTTCCTCCCTTTTGCAGCTTAACTTGAGAAATCTTGAATGCCACACCCTGAGTTTTGGGACTGAATTCAGCTGATCATAACGACAAAAGAAACGTTAAAGAGATCGGTAATCCAGTTTCGCGTTCGGTTAATGTTGCTTTTTCAGGAGAGTGAGGATCTCAAAGTACCTGCTTTTAAGAAAGTTTAGAGGTTTCCAGTGGAATGCAGGATCTTCTCCGTTTTCTTAAAAAGTAAACCATCTTGGAGAAGAGCAAATCAAGAGAATGGTGTCATTCCCCAAACATAGGTGAATTCTCAAATTTCTCCCTCCCTCCCCCTCCT